ACATAAAGTTTCTAGATCCGGTCGGCAACAGACCATAGATCCGAACAAATAATATCATATATGGCAACATATAACATTTAGCACATAAAGCATTTTAGGAAACTTTCCTAAAATAAACTAGTGCTCGTGTCTAAAACATAACAGACACACATCTCAAAATTCCACTTAGCGTTCTAAGTTTAAGTCTAGAAATCCTACAAAATCCTAGTTCGCTTAAACTAATGCTCTGATACCACCTGTGACATCCCCAAAATCTCGGCCAGAAAAGACCGATTTTCATTTATGCTTTTAAAATAAATTCAGAGTAAATCCTTTTGATTTGAAAGAGTTGCGGAATTTGTTCCCAAAAACAAAACATGATAAAACAATGTTTACCAAAGCATTTCATAAGAGAAATGTATTTTTCATTATATAATCAAAACTCGGGGTGTCATGTTCCGACATAGACCAACAAGCATAAACGATAACATTACAAGTCATTCAACAAATATTTACATATACAGACTTGTAAACAAAACAACTTGATGGTTCATCCATCTTACGCCCTTGCGCCACTTCCTGTAATACAAATAAAACTGAGTGGGTCAGGCTTGGGAGCCTGGTGAGCATATAGGGTTTTCAACCCACAATAAATAATTAAACTAATTATTATCAACCAACAATAACCCAGTTAACCATTCCCGTTATTCTCACTTTATGTCCCTAAAATAACTAACACAAGGGACCTAATCTAAGAATATTTTCATCGGGGTGACAACACATGCTGCGGGGTTTCCTCAGCAATATAAGTCAAATAAGGCAACCATGAGGGGGATGGAATACAACGAATGAACACCCAAGTTCATTAACACCTACAGGTTATGAGCCTGCTAGCGTTCCACTGGACTGTCTAGAAAAGTCCGTGGTCGTCATCTAAATTCCGCTAGATGTCTGGATCAAAACAACGATGAGGCCTCTCATCTGTTTATTACACACCAACTATCTACCCATGTTCTACCCAACATATTAGTAGATAAAAACATACATTTTTATACATATTTTCAAAACTTGTATAGCATGCTTGATCAATACATTTTCCATATAACAGATGAGGCACACACACATAACACGTATTTCATGTAGACACTCACTTAATACACTCAAATCATACTTGTATTATTATTGCATTTATGAAAGGTAGTATACACTCACTTGATCAGAAGATGATCGGACAACACTACGGCTTGCAAAAGTAGTAATCCTCAGCAGATCTGGAAGATCTCTTCAAAAATCGAACTTCTCGCGGGCAGAGCTTCGGCTCGAAAATAACGCTCTTCGGGATCCTCGGGGCTTCGAATCTTACTTCGGGGTTCGGGAATATTACCGGGGCTCCAGGGTACAAACAACACGCAAAACGAGGCAAAAGACTAGAGAGAAGGATGGAATTTGTAAAGGAACTAAGGCTGCCTTCGGATCCTTTTTATAGAGGCTGGAAGCCCGAATTACGCGGGGCGTAATTCATGTACGCGGGGTGTACGCAACGTCATTGCATGCGTATGTGTTCGAGTGACGTCATTGCATGCGTAGCTGAGGCGGTTCACGGGTACGCTGGGCGTACCCCAAATTACGCTGGGCGTACGCTATTAAGCAAACTTCAAACTTGCATAACTTTTGCATACGAGCTCCGTTTTCGACGTTCTTTATATCCACGCGAAGGTGAGACTACGCTCTACAACTTTCATTTAAACTCCGTCGGCTAGTTTTGAATTTATTTTTATTATTTATTTTTAATAGGTCGGGACAGAAATTTTCGTTATAAATTCATAACTTCTTCGTTTGACGTCCGTTCTTGCCTAACTTTTTATCGATTTGATACTAACAACGAGGTCTTCAATTCTCGTTTAGATCACTAAGGCTAAATATCGCTCTAACGTAAATTTCACTTTTTACGTTATTCAGCGGTGTCGGTTCTGTCGCGAGACTTCGACATGTCATAACTTCCTTGTTATAACTCGGATTTCGGCATTCTTTATATCTTCGGAAACCTTGTTTCAACTACTTCAACATTATTTAAAGATATAAAGTTTATTTTACACTTAAATTTTGACGCTTATTTTTATTCTTAATTAATCAAACCACATAATTAAGCAATTAACCACAAATCACATAATACTCAAATAATACAATCTTATTATTTCAAAACGGGTTACAAAGGTTAACCTAGACTATCACATTGCTAAAAATGGCTAGCCCAGAAACACAGGCGTTACAGTCTTACTCTTTGTTGCTTAAAGCATTTCTTAAAACTCATGGGAAAGAACCAACACTTTTTTTAACCGATCAAGATGATGCAATAAAACAAGCTGTTGAGAATGTGTTTTGTAATTCAAAGCACCGATTATGTATGTAGCATATAATGAAAAAGTTGAAAAAAGGTTTTATTTTAATATATTTCAAATATATTACTTATTAGTATATTCTTTTATGAATATTGATTGTTATTTTACTTATTATTATTTATTCATTTATGAATATTTTTGTTTAAATACAGATATCAGATGATTTATTTACTAACACAGACTTTAGAAAAAGGTTTTCAAAGCTTGTTTGGGACATTAATATGAAACCTGATGTTTTTGAGGTGAAGTGGGGTTTGCTTATGAAGGAATTCAATCTTGAAGACACAAGATGGTTTAAAGACATGTTTACAATACGTGATTCATGGATACCTGGATATTTTAGTGATATTCCAATGTGTGGTTTGATGAAGACTACATCAAGGTCAGAGAGTATGAATTCATTCTTTAATACATACTCAGAAAGTGGGAACTTACTTTTGAGTTTCATGATGAATTACGATACTGCCATTCAAAAGCAAAGGAATACTCAACGAGATCTTGATAAGGCATCAAAGAAAGCATCATATAAAATGCAAACACCTCGAGAAAATAGAACTGCAAGCATCAAAGGTTTATATAAGTACATTATTTTTTGAGGTGCAAAAAGAAATATATAAAGCATGTTTTTTCTGTACATACTCAGATGTTGGTATTGAAGATGGTTTGGAAGTTTACATTGTGCAGCACAACAACAGTAAAAGTGATTTTAAAAATGAATTTAAGGTAATTTTACTAGTTTTTTTATGAAAAATGTAATAATATTCATATATGAATATGAGAATATTCATATATGAATATATATGATATTATATGAATATATGAATATATGAGTGTTGATATGAGTATTCTTATATGAATGTAAATGTGTAAATTTTGTTTTTGTATCAGGTTGAAATAAAAGCTGAAGAAAAAGAAATAAATTGTAGTTGTGAACATTTTAAGCGTATGGGTGTTTTATGCAGACATGCTTTTACAATAATAATGAGATGTGGTGTTAAAGAAATTCCTGAAAGGTACATTTTGAAGAGATGGAGAAAGGATGTGATATTAATAAATTATCGTTCTAGTTCTGTTCAATCCGATTTAGGTGATTGTAAGAATGTAAAGCTAGTCAATGATTCATATTATAGTTTTGAATCATTTTTGGATATTGTAAGAGATGACAAAAAGAGATTTACTTTGTTTGCTGAGAAGCAACAAATGTTGTTGAAAGAATTTGAGAGTGATTATATTTCTCCTGGATTGAAAAGAAAGACAGATGGTGAAGTTGTATGCAAGCTTTTGGGTGTTACTATTCCTATTCCAGAAGAGATTAATATTCATGTTCCTGAAGTTCAAAGCAATAAAGGTTTTGGACTCAAGAAAAGAATTCCAAGTGCAGGTGAAGTAGCATATGAAAATTCTAAAAAAGAACATAGAATGTGTTCACGATGTGGAAAACGAGTTCTACACAATTTACGTACTTGTCCAGAAATAGTTGGAGCTGATAAATCAGCAAAAGACAGTTAGGGATTTTTTAGTTTTTTTTAATGTTTTTTGGTTTTATTCATTATGAATATATGCAGATAAAAACAATAAACAATAATATTCATGTATGAATAATACACATTTATAATGATATAGTAAATTGATATGTTGATATTTGTTTTTAAATTACTATAAAATAAGTTATATTGATGTTGTAAATTATTCATAAATGAAAACAAATATGTGAAATTTGTTATACTAATAAATAAGTATATTCATATCTAAACTTTTTTATGTTAATATCTAAACTTTGTTATACTAACATATTAATTTGAACTTATTCATAAATGAATATATCATATTCGTATTCATTTATGAATAAATAAAAATAAAGTTTGAAAATATTTGAATACAAAAAAATGGCATAAAAAAGCAAACTTGTTTCTACTAATAAGTTAGTTATATTCATATATGAAATTTGTTATATTCATATATGAACTTTGTTATGCTGACATATTACTCCTAATTTAATCATAAATTAATATATCATATTCGTATTCATTTATGAATAAACATAAATAAACTTTGAAAATATTTAAATATAAAAAACTGACAGAAATAAGCGAAGTTGTTTCTATTACACAATCATTCAACACAAGATAATAAAAGTTGTTCATAAGCATTTCACAAAATATTAAAACGATGTTCAACAACATTTAACAAACCATTTAAAACTTGTTTCGCAAAATCATCTTACATGTACTTCAAATCCATTCATCTTCAACACAAACTATTCTATAGCATCACACTTCAACATTCTTTCATCTTCACAAGAAATCATCTATATTCTTTTAACCTTTTTTGAATTGTTTGCATAGCCTTGTATGCATGATTAGTACACACTTTGAATTCAACTTTTTGATAATTTTCAGCAAGATCCAACACCTTAGCCTTCATCATGTTAATTTCAGAAGTTAGCATTATGTGTGCATATCTTTTCCTGAGCTTCTCTAAAGTAGTTTGTTGAACTGCACTTTCTTTATGAAGACTTGGTTTCCACTTTGAGAGTGGTTGTCCCATATAGCTCTCCATATGTCTCATTGCAAAGACCCCACAATTAACTTTGTTTTTAATTGTTCTCCATGACATTTCAAGTCATTGGGGTTTGATACTTTCTTTTGAGATTGCATTTGCTCTTGGATGGTTTATATTTTTAAAGTATCTCACAATCAAAATTTTCTGATCATTAATAAAATAAAAGTTAGATATGTAATAAATTGGTTAGTTTATGTTGTTGTGAATTGGGTACATACCAAAGGTTTCAATATTACTTCGTATTTTCCTTCATAATCCCCCTCAACTGCACTATTGTCTAGAATTTCAATTGACGGTTTCTTTAAGTTGAAGACAATCACAAAAATGTGAGCACTTCTAACAACTGGAAAGAATACATGTTTTTGTGTATATAATGGTAAGTATTTTGTTGATAAAATATATATATAAAAAACAACTTTAATTAACATACCATGTCAATATCTTTTATGTTTAAGAATTTTTTGTACCCATTGGTACTCTCATGAAAGTTCTCCTTGAATTTTTTATACTTTCTTTCATCAGACAATGTTGAAGTTAGATAAGCATTCTGTAACCAATATAATCATATGTGAATTTCAGTTGAATATATATAATTATGTTAAAGAATACATCATATTTGTATAATCATATGTGGATTTCAGTTGTAAAAAAATATAATATTCATAAATAAATACATTATATTGGTGTATTCATTTATTAATAAGGAAGGAATTAAGTTTAGAACATAAACTTACACAAACTCCAACTTTCAAGAAGAGTCTGTATGGTGAATTTCCAAAATCCCTTTCCAGTTCTTGGTGGTTAAGTAAATCAGACCAACTGGCTAAAACTTCTTCAAAAATCTTTGTGTTTGCATATAGACTTTCCATAATTGCTCTTTTTGTTATCTGACCATATTTTGTCTGGACAACCACATCTTTGCAAATATATAATCAAAATGTCATAGATTATTATCTATATAATAATCATATATGAATGTATATAAAATAAAGTTACTTACGATGTATTACCTTGTATGTTGAACAACCATTCACAGACAATACTCTCCTAATGTGTCAGTTTGGGTTTTTTGTCTGTTATTCTGCATTTGAAAGGTGATTTGAAAGCATCAGCAAGCTTCTTCTCTCTTGGTTGATCCAGATCATGCTTTGATGGTCCTACTTCAGTAGGAATTGATATATAGATTGGATTTGGATTAAGAACATTTTTCTTTGCTAATCTGATAACAACCTTCTGATGGTCGTCTTTGATTTGTTTCTTTGTAAGTGGTTTTTTTTTTGTGAAGATTCATTAGATTTTTTACTTGAAGTTTGATCTAAATCTTGACTGAGACCTAGACTAAAGCTTGGATGAGTATTTGCATGCCAGGAGATTCATCATATAAATAGTTGTAAGTTAATTATAATTTTTGAGTTTATAGTTTGAAATTTTTATCCAAATTATTACCTCCTTTATTTCCTTTTGTCTTGTCAACTTTTTTTCCTTTCTTGTTTTCATTTTTTTGACTTTTTCTTTCTTGAAAGATAAAGAACTGTGATTAAGTAATTAATATGTGAATAAGTAATGTATTCATTTATGAATAAGTAATACATATCATTATTTATGAATAAGAAATATTAAAAAAAAAATTTATATTGGGTGATTTATTTGTGAATAATAAAACTTATTATATTAATTTATTAAGTTGATCCAACTATTTACCTTTATCTTCTGCATTTTCTTTCTCATTTTATGTATGTTTTTCTTCACCTCCATCTTTCGTGTTCTTAGCTTCTGTTCCTCCTTCATTTCTATCTTCAGAGTTTTCCTTGCCTGAAACATATACATCATATATGAATATTTTTTATTTTTTATTCATTTATATAGTGTATTATTCACTTATAAATAAACAATGTTATTAAAAAAATCAATATAAATATTGTAATATATTTTAAGTCATTCATTTACTTGTATCATCTCCCTTTGTTTTTTTAACTTTTGTTCCTTGTTCATGTATACCTTCTGATTTTTCCTTTTTTGAAAGAGTATTAGTTTTACTTGTACTCATTGGTGACCCTGGTCAAAATTTAACAAACAAAATTGTTATTGTGTATTAATATTTTTATATATTTTTTTTAAAATAAAAGTAAGACAAAATTTACCTATATCAATATTATCGAAAATAGTTTTCATTTCAGGGTGATTCCAGATTTCATCTTCTTGACTATTTAAACTTGAAATTCCAATTCCAAGGACATTGTCCACAATGTTGTCAACAACTTTATCCAACAAATTTTCATTTTTAGTTTGTTGAATAGTCTCCTCATAATTATTTGTTTCCTCAGCATGATCATCTTTTTCCTCTTCATCATTCTCATTTTCATTCATCTTTCCATCTTTCTCTTCTAATCCAATTTCACCTTCTTTTTGATTCTTATCTATATCATTCTTTATTTCTTCATTATCTGCTTCATTTGAATCAAGCAAATAATCTACTTTTGGTTGACTTGCACCATTATCACTATCTTCTTCACCATTTGCCTCTTTATCTTCATTTTCTGTTTGATCATTTGTTTTTTGACCCATTATTGGTGTCAAATTGATTCCTTCAACTCCAGTTTCATTAATTGGAAAATTAAAAAGTGTTGTGCTTTCAGTTTTTTCTTCAACAATCATATTTGTTATCTTTTCTTTGAAAATTCTAAAACTTTCCTTTTCAGGGAACTTTGTCATCGCATCATTAAGCTTTGAATTCAACTTTTCCTTCATCCTCTCAAAACTATTAATCATTTTTAATATTTTTGATTCACATGCCTATGTAAAAAAAGAAGTATATGATTAGAATTTAATATAAAAATTTAATGTAATCATATATTATTAACATGTTCAAACTAATTACCTCAACATAATGATCTTCATCTTTATCATAATCATTATCTTTGAGATCTGTATCTCCTTCATCTTGTTCATCAACAAATTATTCATTTATTTCTCCAAGTCCAAATTTACCTTTTTCTTGTTCAAATTCCTCTCGATATCTAATCTTCTCTGAACTTCAATAACAAATTGTTGGACGTTTACGTGTTACTGTCAAATCTTCTGAGTGGATGTTATCAGTATAGAACAACTGCACATGAATGATAACTAATTGATATTCATATGTGAATAATTAATATTATTTTTTACTTATTCATATATGAATAAGTAATGACTTATTCATATATGAATAAGTAATGTAAAGCATTATTTGTTAACAAATATATTTTTCTTATTCATATATGAATATTTGCTATTAGTTTATGAATAATCAATATTATTAAAAATTGAGTATAAACATTAAAATAACTTACCGCCAAGAAAGCTGAAGGTCCAACAAAGAAGTTGGTATCTGAGTATGGTATGTATGAGTTTTTTGTTCTGACAAGACAGTCCAAAACATAGCTGCACCAGTCTATGTTGCTGATATCTGTTCTTCTTGAAATATAACTCAAGGGAAACAAGTTGCATCTTCCCATTGATGTTGACTCGCAAAACATGTTGACAAAAAGAACTAAGAAGTTCAATTTGAAATTGAAATCAACTTGTGTGGTAGAAACAATAACATTTTTTATTGCACTCAGTCGGATGATTGAATCTTTTTTAAATTGTTGCTTCCATTCATCATAACTTGTATCATCGTTAGGCCATTGATCCAGTTGTGTAAGTTTAGTTCCACTAATTGGTATGCCAAACATGTCATGAATAGACTCTGCTGTTATTTTGAGTTCTTTTCCTTCAATATCTATCACCATTCTCTCAGAATCAAATTTTTGAAGAACATAAAATCCCAGCTTCAGTGGTATATCTGTGACTTTCATTTTTAACAAAGCTCCAAAACCCATAGATTTTACAGATTCTTTTTGTACTTTGCTCATCCCAAAGATTATAGATAGTAATGCCTCTGGTCAACATCTGTTTTTCATTGAATAAAATTCTTTTACCATTGTTTTTTTTTTCTTTTTGTATTGGTGACTCCTTTTTTTGCCTTCTTCGATGGATGACTACTTTCAAAATCAGAATCTGAATCTTGTAGTTGTTTTTCCGGAGTTTTCCTTTTTGATGAACTTTTTCTGCTTTGACGCTTTATTATCTTTAGTACTTTTGTTTCTTTTTTATCTAGTAAATGAAAACATATAATATTTGAATAAGTTACTGATATATGAATATGATATATGGTTGTTTATTTATTTATTACAAAAATATATACAATTTTATTCATATATACAATTTTATTCATATATGAATAAATAATATATACAATTTTATTCATATATGAATATATTAGATATGATAGGAATTTTGTGCCTTTCATATTTTTCCTCTTTTGCATTGATCTTGTTTCTCTGATTATTGGTGAATTTTTCTGGGAAATGTTAGTGTTCTTACCTTCATTCAACAGTAAGTAGAAGGTAAATGAGTTTGATATTCACAAATGAATATTTGAATAAAACATATGTATTCATATTTATTATTCACATACGAATATGTTTTGTTACATTCATATGTGAATAGAACATATATAAGTCATTCTTGTTGTATTATGTATGGCAGCAAGCTATCTTCTATTCATATGTGAATATAACATACATATTCAAGAATGAATATTTGAATAAAACATATGTATTCATATTTTTTTATTGACATATGAATATGTTTTGTTATATTCATATGTGAATAGAACATATATAAAAGTCATTATTGTTGTATTCACATTTGAATAACGTATGTATGGCAACAAGTTATCTTCTATTCATATGTGAATATAACATACATATTCAAGAATGAATATTTGAATAAAACATATGTATTCATATTTTTTTATTCACATATGAATATGTTTTGTTATATTCATATGTGAATAGAACATATATAAAAGTCATTCTTATTGTATTCACATTTGAATAATGTATGTATGGCAGCAAGCTATCTTCTATTCATATGTGAATATAACATACATATTCACGAATGAATATTAGTTTAGGTTGTGTTCAGAAGTAAACAAAACATATTTTATTTACCTTTTTGTTTTGTTCTTGGTTTTCGTTTATATGTATTCTTCACTGTTGGTGTTGTTTCTGTAAGAGTAACTAGTTAATATTAGGAAAACATAAGCGAAATGTGAAGTAACCTTTGTATTTTGAGAGAATAGTTTTGAATAAAGATGAAAAATGAAGAGATGATGTAAAAACATTTATATATGAAATAATAATGGATGGTTCTTACAAAAATTTCAAGTAAATAAAGTAATAACAAAGGAGGGTTACGAGAATGAACGAGTATCATAAATTTCAAGTAGAATTGAAGTAAACAACCTTTTTTGAAGAATGAATAGTGTGAAAACAATGTTTTTAGTTCTAAATCAACTAATAATTTTCAAACATTATGAGAAATTTCAAGTAATCAAGTGATAATTTTAGAAATGATTCGAAATCATTAAAAACTCGAGAACAAACACCGATGGTTACCTTTCATTGTCAAGAGTGTGGAAATGCTCTCGTTCCTGTTTTCATCGGAAAACATGTTTCTTCGTTTATGTTATTTGATGCTTCTACAAATGTTTTTCTTCTTGTCGATTCTTCTGCAAATGGTTTTCGTGTTATGGTGTATCGAAGAAGGAAATGGTGCTTTTCTGTCGAGATATGACGTGATATCAAATTACTCAAGTGCCCTGACGGTTTAATGTTTTTTGATTATTTACAAATTTGCCACCGCTCATAAATGTATTTGGATTATTTACAAGTTTTCCACCGTACGTTTTTTAAACTCATTAAATGATTGGCTGAGAATGGTTTCCCCATTCTCAATATTTTTTTTTCTCAATTGAACCCTCTCTCTCTCTCTCTCTCTCTCTCTCTCTATATATATATATATATATATATATATATATATATATATATAACCCGTAGGAACCATGATTATATAACTAATTAAACTTCTATAATAAACTTTAAAATTATTAATCAATTATTTTATATAAATTATTAATTTAAGAGATATTTTTATTACTTATCTAATATTATAATCGTTGATTTAAATAAATATCTAAAATTAATTTTTAATATATATTAGACATTTTGTATTTTTGAATTAATGAAAACAATAATATAAAATTTAAAATTTAAAATACATAATAAATACATTAACAAATAACATCGTATTAATGAGTTGGTCTAATAAATTTACAATTAAGAACTTATAAATTGATAAGTGGCTATACATATGATGACAATGATAAAAGAACTACTATTTTATTAATATAGGAATACGATATATATATATATATATATATATATATATATATATATATATCCTCCTTAATAAATGAAGGTTTTTTTGCCACATGTCTTCTTCTCCTTTATTTAAACGAATGGCATTTTCTAAATTTTTTAAAATTTCTATTTTCCACTTGTCATTTTATTGTATTTTTTATTTTATTAAATTAAAATTCCACATTTAATATATAAGATAATATATATGTAAAGTATTTATTAGAAATGATTTATATATGTAATGTATTCAATGTATTAAAGGCTCATTAATTTTAATAATTTAAATTTTTTCTAATTTTTCTTATAAATTCAAACTTCTCATATTGTAAAATTATCATATTAATTTTTTTTAAATAAACCCATATAATACATGAGTTTCACACCTAGTATATATAATGATATTGTAGGGCTATATAGATGTTCTGAATGTTTAGTTTGTAAACTTCATATAAAAATGCGTTTTACATGAATCTTAAGTAAACATCCAATAACAAGTTTAGATGTAAAAATAATGCTTTAGATTCTATCTTACTTCAAAGAACTTTATTTCCTCATAGAATAAATGCGTTAAACTAAAGGTCTTCTGATGAGCCTTTGAAGAAAAGTGTGAAGATAAAATCTACGAAGACCCAAGAAAATATAGATATTTTGAGCATGACAAAAGTAGCTATTAGCTGGAAGTGGGTGACGGTAAATTAGTAGCCGGTAGCTGATAGCGTGTAGCAAGTAACTGATAGCGAGAAACTATAACTTTTATTTGTTATATGAATGTTTGATAAAAATAGTTAGAAGATTTTGAAATATATAAAATTACATAAAATGACAAATAATTAAAAATAAATATACATATAAATATATTTTTAAGGGTAATTATGGAAATTGATTTCAAAAGCTCAGAAGCGTTTTGTTAAACGCTACATGAAGTAGCTTTTAGAATTGGAGCGTTTTATTAAAACTAAGAGCTAAATGCTCATATTACCAAACGAAGATTTTTGTTTAAATAGAACGTTTTGTCAAAAACTAAAAGCTAAAAGCTCCCAAACGCTTCCAAAAGCTTCATACCAAACACGCCATTTGCTGTACATATCATTAGTTTTTAAAAAGATAGAAGTGTAAAAGAGAAATATTCATATTATCTTAATTTAGATTTCTGCTTCCTAAAAGCGGTCACTTACTCACTTTAGTTGCATTTTGTTTATAGAAAATAAGTATAAAACATCAAATCAAAGATTTTAGCGGGTGTTTGGAGAATTGATTCTTCATAACTTTGTATCTGATGCGATCACTAATATTAGACTTTATAATACGAGTGTAGGTATGGATATGTTCTAGGGTGCTATTATTCATATATTTCCAATTATATAAAAAATCAAACACATATATACTCATTTATTTATAAAAATGTGTATAATGAATGGGATGTATGAATAAAATCACTATATTTTATATTTGTTACGTGAGTCTATATTTGAAAAAATTTAACTTTTCATAGTTATAATTTTTTGAGAAAATAAATAGATCGTTATTTTTGTTCCACCTATTTTCTTATTTATATAAAAATAATGACATGCAATCCGTTAACTCTTTCTTTTAATTTCCTATTTCAATATTAACATTTGTTATTTGTTTTAATTTCCTCTATCAATATAAACATTTGTTTTTTTATCTAATAAATAAGAAAATAAATAAAAGCAAAAAAGAGGACTATATTTTATTTCTCTAATATTTTATTGGATATAAGATTGGATGATTCAGTTAACATTTTCTCCATAATATACTAAATGAGTAAAAAATAAGAAATTAGTTAAAATTAATTTTTTTTTGAAATCACCTCTCTCTCTCTCTCTCTCTCTCTCTATATATATATATATATATATATATATATATATATATATATATATATATATATATATATATTAAACAAGGGGTGGGTTATGAACAATAACTGAGCTGAGCTGAGTACTGTTCATTAACTTCTCCTTCTCCACTACTTTTGATCGACTTCTTCTAATACATATTGTTTTCCTAGGTTACTACCGCCCCTCTCGGCCAATGATAGTTGTGATTGCTATCACATAATCGTTTACCACTTCTCTCACTCAATTTCTGCATCAAAGAAATTCACCTACAAAATCATCAATCACTCACTGCCTCTACTACCACCAAACGAGCACCCCCACACTAGCTTCACCCCAATCATATCCTATCGTCGATAACTTTCTCCAATAGACATCGATACTCAACAACTTTGCCGACGACATTGTCAACAACACCATCAGATTATCAAAGGGAATATCATCGGCCTCCTCTAACACTGCACCTGTGCTTCAAAGGGTTTTTGATTCTTTCTCTCTACAAGCAGTGACGAAGAAGAGTTAACATGACATACCTTGTTCTTGGAGAATAAATTTTATATTAAAGAAAAAATTTGCAAATCGATGATGGTGGGTTTTATTTTGTCTCTTCGTCTCTTGATTCATGGTAAAATTGAGAGCAATACTTTACCGATTAATAAAAAAAGAGCCAAATCGATGATGGAGCGTTTGATA